TCTCTCTCTCTCTCTCTCTCTCTCTCTCTCTCTCTCTCTCTCTCTCTTTCTCTCTTTCTCTCTTTCTCTCTCTCTCCGATAACATTTACCGATAAGGATGTTCGCCATTTGATGAACTATCGGCAATCCAGTGACGAACTTTGTCATTGGATTGTCGATAGTTGATAAAATGGGGAACATCCTTATCTAAAATTCAAATACGTTTTTTTTTTCAGGACAGGAATTGGAAATTTCGATCATTTAAATAGCAAACGTTAGTCGCGTCATCATGACTACGAGGTAAATTATTTTACTTGTGCACTCTTAGAAAATTTGACCACATCTAGCATGATATGAAGTTTTGAACAATTTTCATATTTTGTGTTGGAAACTTTATACATAACTTCATAGTTTCACATAAATGTATTGTCCTTGTTTCAGAGTGGTGGAAAGAGGGCGTACAAAATGCGCACAGTATTGGGGTCCGGAACCAGGTGATGAAGTACAATCGGGTGGCTTCATCGTGACCACCCTCGAAGTCGATACAAATCCAGATTACACAGTATCCATGCTTCTCCTTACAAACAATAAGGTATGTACTTTGACACATTTCTTTTTCCTTCATTATTAAAAATGTTATCGTTTCTTCATGTTCCATTCGTCTTATTTCAGACTGGTGAGACGAGGGAGGTTTGCCATATGCGTTACACAGTGTGGCCAGATTACGGTGTTCCTCAATCGGCTAAAGCTTTACTACAGTTCTTGTCCTTAGTCAGGCAACAGCAGAGCAAATTACTCGCTAGCAGAGGAGACACATGGGTCGGACATCCTCGAGAACCACCTATAATTGTACATTGCAGCGCTGGCATCGGAAGAACAGGTAGAGAGAAGCTTCTTGCAACGAAAATTATAATTTATAGTTGCCAGCGCTGTTCTTTTTCGAGACGTGCAAATTTTAAGGCATGAGATATACATTAAATTGGCGGTTTTCCAGGCACATTTTGCATCTTGGACATTTGCATATCGCGACTAGAGGACACTAAAACCGTAGACATACGAGGAACTGTCGAGAAGATCCGAGCACAGAGGGCCTACAGCCTACAGTATTCAAATGCCAGATCAGTACGTCTTGGTCGTCTTGTGCCATAGTGCTTTGGCGGAATACGTACTTTCCAAAGGGATGCTCAGTGCGCAGCATCTCTCCATGTTACCTCCACCAATCGAAGAGGATTCTGACTAAGAGAGTATAACGAGTTCTATCATGTACCGGATTGATGTTGTTCCTGTGTATGCGTATATATATACTATCCTTAAAATAGCCTATTTCTACCTTAAACGACTGAAAGTTATTTTTTGCTATCGTATCCATTGATGTAATGATTGAACTTCTCGCTATTACGTCAGTCTTAAATTATAAAATTTATTTCTTATGAAGCCGGAAATTGGTCTTTCTTTTTCAATGTCAAGTAAGCGAACAGAGAATATTACACATTCCTGTTATTCGTGCTCTGGCAAATTTTATGTAAAGATGCATCAAAAGGCACTGATCAAAGATAAATATTTTACTAGTATAAGAATCTTGCACAAACATTATTATAGATGTGGTTTGACAGTGGCCATGATATAGCCACACGTATTTAAGATTTTGAGATTTAGAAGTATTATAACATACGATAAAACGGCTTCTGCCTTACGGAAATGTAGATTATTTTAGAAAGTAACCAACATATTGATAGATGTTTTTGGGTAACCAAAGATTATCTGCTGCACAAGTTTAGAAAACCGAAATTTTTTAATTTACGTAAAATTTGGTTATATATACAATTGTGCGTGAAAAATTCCGTTTTACAGGGATTAATAATCAGGGATCATGTAGATTAAATAATTTCCGACGCGACTAAAAATGACGAAGCCTAACAAGTACAAGGCTTTAAAAATGAAATTAAGCCTTTACTTTAGTCGAATAAATTTCGAGTTTATCCGATAACTATATGTATGCATATAAATATATGTTTATAAACACACATATACATATAAGTATATGTATAGTTATACATATATATATATATATATATATATATATATACATATACGCTTCATTATAAAAATCGTAACGATTAAAAATCGTGTATACTTGCAAGCATCAAACGTTTGAAGACATTTTAAAATCTTATAGATATAAAAAAAAATCTCAACACACGATGACTATATGTAAATTTTACCTTCAACGGATACTACAATTTAATAATAATTAAGAAAAAGACGCAATTGACGGAATACCAAAAACAGTTTAGACGCGTTATAACATTCTAGACGATGTGCGATTTAAATACAAATTAATTTTGTATGTAACTATTACTACGTTTACGCGAGCGTTACTTCTGTAGTAACTTACGATAATTTACTCCGCGTAAACGTAAGTTACTACAGAAGTAACGCTCGCGTAAGGGTCAAAGCACATAACATGGCGTAGCGATATACGACGGTCGTAGTCCTCGACCTGACAGATCAGGATACGCCAAAGCTTGTGCGTTACTTACGTCCACGACTACGACTGTTATATGTGCTTTGGCCCTAAACGCAGTATATGACATAATTATTCTTCAGATATGTGTCATACTTCCAAGGTATTGCGAGATGCGTGTCTTTGGTTCTGTGCGATGTTCATCCCGATAATATGATCAAGAAGCACGCAAAGTTTCAAATAGTGCTGCTTTCGAAATCTTTTGATTCCTTTTCGATTATGATTATTACGAAGTTTATAAGTGTGTACGTGTAACCTTGGATATATGTTAAAAACGTTGTGTCCGATCTGTGTTACTCGTATCCAATAAGTACTCGAATCGTTTATCCGTTGAATGTGTGCGAGACCTCTGCAAGGAAGCTGCGACGTAAGTGAGACGAATCTTCTTGCACCTGTCGCTCGATGTTTGATGAATTACGAACTTTATCGTGGGCTATTAGTATTATAAAGCATTGTAATAGGGCCGGTCTCACAGTCTCCGATTAACGTGATTCTCCGATTAAACTCACTCTGCATCTCTTTCTAACTATCCCCCTAGAAAGAGACGAAGAGTGAGTTTAATCGGAGAATCACGTTAAGGGGATCCTAAAGCCGTCTGTAATACCGGCTTTTTTTCTTAGCACTAATCTTTTAATTGACTTTATAGAAATGCAAAATTCTTGTCTAGAATTAAAGTACGCATCAAAATCTAGGTCATGGTGGTCAAATTTATATCAAAAACAAAAAAAAATTAATATTTTTGTTAATTTTTGGTGTACGTAACGACAATATTTGCTTTGTACAAAAATTCCACGATAAATATCCATAAAATTAGACCGGCATGACCTAGGGACAACATTTAAGAACAATATCGTGCAATTAGATCTAAGATTGAAAACCTAGAAAAAAAGATTACTTTATATAACTTTTATATGTGCAAAAGCACATTCAGGTTGACAGGATAAGCAATATTGCGTGTGGCAAGAGATGGCGCAGTAATCGAACAAAGACAGATGCCTCTCGTTAGACAAGGACAGATATAAATATATGACAAGAAAACAGAATTAGAAATGTTGACATTACCGACGTCGAAGAAGTTCAGCCTTCACTTTAGGATCCCCTTAATCGGAGACTGTGAGACCGGCCCATAGTCGGTAGAAGTCTCCGAAAATTTCGTATCTCTATATTCTTCCAAGTACTGCCATTGCCAACTGCCATGGTCAAGCCATATGGGAAAAATCAGTATTGTAATAAAAATATTATGAGTGTATGTCAATCAATAATGTTTGTTTGCATTCATTAACTGAAATAACTCTGTTACAATTTGGTTTGCCGGGTAAAGAGTATATTAGACATAGGCTGCGGTCCACTTGACGCTACAAATTCTTTGGAGCGTTCTTCTTCTCCTTCTTTCTATTGAAAGAAAAGAGAAGAGGAATGCTTCGAAGCATTTGTAGCGTCAAGTGAACCGCAGCCATAATAACCTATATTGACGATCTATTTTATCGATCTTGTAAATCCTTCTTTTTCCCCGTTACTTTTGCTCTCCGAGAACGGAGCTCTTTTTTTAATTTTTCTACAGACTACTTTGCCACTCATTATTATCACAATTCTTTTTTATTCTTTCGCTGCTTTGAAATTTGCGCCGTTAGCTACCAGGCACAGTGGCTTCCCTGGGCTGCGTTCAAAAACTTCACTCGGGTGCACACCAGTGTCATTCTGTCCTTTTTCAATTTTTAGTACCTAACAAAGATAGAACGACGCGATGTCCACTCGAGTAAAGTTTTCGAACGCACCCCTGTGCGAGAGCAAAAGTTAGTGAAGAACCTCATTAATTTTCCATTTCTAGGAAATTTCATCGCGCGAAGTTTGTCATCTCGATCCAAAATAAAACGTGGTGATTGCGTCTGGTGAAGTCTGGTCTCTGGTTTCAGTACGGTGGATTCGGAGGAGAGTGGAGTTATCATTGAAATTTCTCGGTGGGTTTTAGGCGTTTTCTGTCACCGAGGTGAGGTGCTCGAGTTGACAGAATGCCACCGAAAAAGGTGCCGGCGGCGCCGAGCAAGAAAACGGAGCAAAAGAAGAAGGAAAAGGTTATTGAGGTACGCGAGATGTAAGACACTCTTTGCCTATAATTAAAACCTTTGTGATTCCACATGTTTCCTAAATGAACTATGTGGATACTGATCAATTTATGCCACATTATTTATCAACGCGTGCTCACGTACGAAGCGTGACTTCTCTAAGATCTGAACCTTCTTTCTGCTTTAAGGACAAGACTTTCGGTATAAAAAACAAGAAAGGTGCCAAGCAACAAAAGTTTATTCAGCAAGTGGAAAAGCAGGTAAAATCGGGCGGCGTAAATCCTCGCAAACTCGATGATCCCAATGCCAAGAAGTTGGAGAAGGAGAAGAAGCTGAAGGAACAGAAGGAACTAGCTCTTATTTTTAAGCCCGTTCAAACGCAAAAGATAGAAAAAGGTATCGAGTGCATCCACGATAGTCAGAAGCTATTAAATAACGGATAATCTTTAAGTAAGAAAATACTACTGTGACGAAACAATTTCTGCAGGCATAGACCCCAAGTCTGTCGTGTGCGCGTTTTTTAAACAGGGACAATGTACAAAAGGAGATAAGTGTAAATTCTCGCATGATTTGAGCATCGAGCGGAAAGCTGAGAAGCGATCTTTATATTGTGATATGAGAGATGACGATGATAAGGAGGGGGATACGATGGATAAGTGGGACGAGGATAAACTGAAAGAGGTTGTGGAAAAGAAACATGGTGGTGGCAATCGTCCAACTACCGACATTGTAAGCTGTATAAATTAATATTTATAATAATCTGATCGAGAAAATCATTCAAGCTTTTACTCAAGTAACGAGAATTAATGAAATAAGACGCTTTTTTCACTAGATATGCAAACACTTCTTAGAAGCAGTAGAGAAATCAAAATATGGTTGGTTCTGGGAATGTCCGTCTGGTCAAAAATGTATCTACAGGCATGCTTTACCTCCTGGATTTGTCTTGAAGAAAGATAAGAAAAAGGAGGACAAGAAGGATGAAATCTCCTTGGAGGATCTAATAGAAACGGAAAGGGCCAATTTGGGACCTAATCAGGTACGAAAACACTGTACATGAAATATATATAAATTTTTGACACCACAATGTTGATTACATTTTCCACGTAACAAATATTTTTAACAGACCAAGATAACACTAGAGACATTTTTGGCTTGGAAGAAAAGAAAGTTGAAAGAGAAACAGGAGCAGGCGATCAAGGATGAGGAGAAAAAGAGGAGCGATTATAAAGCTGGACGTCAAGTCGGTATATCAGGAAGAGAAATGTTTTACTTCAATCCAGAGCTTGCAGCAGGAGATGGTAAGATCTCGTGTTACAACTCACTAAAATTTCTCATAGAATTTATTATTTAATTAGTATATACTGATAATAAATGTTACAGGTATCGATGAAGGAGATGAAGCAATATCTAGTTATGCTCGTGAAGAAGATGATTTTGAAGATGTACAGTATAGAGAACTTGATACGGATCGTCTTGCTTTTGAAGCTAGTGAAATCGATATTAACGGTATCACAGTGGCAGCTGAGGATCGGTTAAAGGCCAGCAATGCCACCGATAACAATAAAGATACTACAGGTTACATCAATTTTTACTACATCAATTACATCATTTAACGTTAACACGCTTATAGTCCGCTAATAGAATACTTAAAATTCAGAAGCGTATAAGTGATTCAGATTATCTTAGATTTATATTAATACACTTACGGATTAATATATAAATCTCTATGAATTGTATATAACTATAAATAATATCTCTCTGAATATAAGAATTTACGCTTATTAAATGCGGACAATAAACGTATTAATTATTATGCTACGTCGTTCGATAATTAACACGATTTCTATTGCAGTAACCGTGGACGAGGGTGCTGTTGCCGTAGCTATTAACGAAAATCTTTTCGTGGAGGAGGACCTGGAGGGTTTGGAGGAAGAATTGGGGGACCTGGACTTGGAGGAGTAAGCCAGATGTCCCGATCGTGACTCTCCTCACCACTGTCCCTCTGCCTTGTGTTTTATTCTTTTAAATACGTATCACTCGGATAACCATTAAGCCTCAAGTGTGATGCATTTGTATATTGTATATATCGCATCGTATTTACATAAATATTGTATTTGTGTACTTGAGCATGTATACAGAAACTTGACGTCGCGCAAACAAGTGATACACCAGAACTCGACACCATCACTGTCTCCGATTAAAATCAAGTTTGTCTTTTTATAATGTCAAGTTTATCCGATGATTACCTACGAATATCAGGATGCTTAATGTTAAACATTAAATCATGTACATTATTTTTGTAATATCGACATATGATGGCATTTACGTCCGATACACAATTATTATACGAAGACTTCTCTCCCCCCTTTTTTCTCTAATTAAAATTTCTAGCCGCCAGGAACGTGAGAAAAAAAATGAAATATGCAATCTAGTCAAAAAGTTGTCCGAATACAATACATCAAAATGATAGGAATAATAGGAAGACACCAAAATACTGATAGCACAACATATATTCTATATTCAAATATACTTTTATGAAAATATTTTTATAAAACTATAATTTTTTTTCAGTCTCCACAGCAGAGACTGTAGAACTGTCAAAGGATTTTCCTTACAATAGTCGTGATGTATCATCTGGAATTAACGCATTTATTTAAACGAGTTTAAGTCAATATCGTAAATTATCCCTGTCTGGAAATATATTTAAAAAGTACAGATTTCAAAATTGGATGCCACAATTTTGAATCGTTAGTGTTTAATCTAACTCAATCTTATAACAATATCAAGAATTTTTATAAATTATAATAGTTACAATTTATTAATATATTTACACAAACTATATTAAAATATATATTGAATAAGTATATATTACTTGAGAGGAAAATTAGCTTAAAAATGTAGTCTCAGTATATTATAAAATCCATTTTTACATTACAAAGAGCTTTATAAATAAATATAGAAAAATTTAGATTCTAGAGCTCCTCATGGATTTGGACATCCGCCATTTTCGGTCTAATTATCGGACGCTTTTCAAGAACATTATTCAAATCACTTTAGTACCTACCCAGGTAGCAATTAATGTCTAAAAGACATCATAAAGACATTTAAGATTTCTGGCATCTTAAAGACATCTTTATGATGTCTTTTAGACATTAATGCTACCTGAGTATGCAGTTCATTAAAATATAAAAATGAATTTAATTCAATAGTTTATATATATATAAATATGATTATGGCTATATATATAATAAATTATTAAAAAATAACAGTAAAATACTAATTATTATATAGGTTTGTTCTTTTTCGTAGAACTTCCTGAACTGGTGTGCACTAGTGCAATAAGTTAGAGTGAGATAAGTATATTTTGTTTCACTCTAACTTATTGCACCTACGATCTTTACCGGCTGCAGACCAGCGACACGCGATATCCAATGAGCGTAAAGCTTCGCCGATACAGCTTATTTATAGGTCTGTTCTTTGCAGCTGAACTGGATGCACTAGTTCAGAGTTTATCTTTTTTACACCACATTGGAAGGAAAAGGATGAATTCTGAACTAGTGCAGCGTGCAGCCAGTTCAGCTGTAAAGAACAGACCAAATGTATATCGCGTGTCGCATGTCGCGTGTCGCGTTAGGCCCGGTCTACAATGGATGTCGGAAGTCGGAGTCGTAAGAAATTAACCAATCACAATCTATTATTCTCCTTGCGGTCGAAAAATAATGAACTGTGATTGGTCAATTTCTTACGACTCCGACTTTCGACATTCATTGTAGACCGGGCCTTAGAACGGTCTACAATGGATGTCGTAACTGTCGTAAGTCGTGAGTCGTAAGAAATTTACCAATCATATACTACGTTTACGCGAGCGTTACTTCTGTAGTAACTTACGATATATCACTCGTTTACGTGGAGTAAATTATCGTAAGTTACTACAAAATCCCGTTTACGCGAAGGAATTATCGTAAGTTACCGGCCTAAAGCCCGGTGTCCACGATGCAAGAACTGTGTCCAAGTTTCGGTTTGAGCCAATAAAACTGCTACTTTTCTGTAAGAGCTGCAAGTTGATTGGCTTAAATTGAAACTTGGACACAGTTCTTGCATCGTGGACACCGGGCTTTAGATCGTACTGATTGGCTACAAAATAGAGAAGTTCTCGAGTTTCTAGAACTTCTTTATTTTAGCCAATCAGTACGATCTGCTGCTGCTTTTCACTGCCCATGAAATTTCATCTCAAGAGTTTGTAGGCCCTGATGGTAATTAGTAATTACCGTGACTTCGGCTGTACTGTTTTGTAGTACTTATTGTGATTTGAAACGAAGGGATATTATTATAAAAGAAAAAGATATTAGCAGTGTGAATAAAAATTGCAGCCAAATAACAAATCGCGATAGATTTTGTTATTGTTTATATCTCAGCAGGCACATATACCATCAAAATGTACGTTTATTAAAAATGCTTTTAAACAGACATATGTAAGCTTTATTTCACAATTTTCAATCTTTTTTTTTTGCCGCTACAAAGTGTATCTTTTCACTGCATAATTCATATATTTGACTGAAATGTAAAATTATACGTGTGATTATTTTTATATTATTATTTCCTTTAATAGTTATTTCTAATAAACGATTTTTACTTTATAGGTTAGGAAAAGAGAACTTGGTTAGAAAACATTTATGTTTTGAAGACGTTAGATGTCTATGGACGACGTAGATGGTACGTATCTTCACTTTTTTTGTCTTTTTCCTTTTTATATATTTAATTCCAAAAGCAGATTTTATAACTGAATTGTTGTCTTTTAGGTACTGACATCAGTATAAGTTCTGATGATACTGTTTAATCGGAAACATCGCAGTTAAATTACAATAAAGATTCCGAGTATAAATATAATCTTTTGAATCACTTTGGCTATTTGCTTGTCGATTTCACGAAATTAGACAATATGGAGTATGAAAAGCAGAACGGGCTCTTCGACGTTTTTTGCGAACAGCCGAATAAAAGGATGAAATTGAACAGCGGAGAAGCGTTCAGCACTGACGTACCTTTGGGAGAAGAGTATATCGAAGAAAATGAAGCATCAGATGACGCAAATGTCGATGGCAATGAAAGTAATGTATCCCAGAAGGTGCAGCAGATGATGAAAAAAATGGGATACAAGCCGGGTAAAGGTCTTGGAAAGGATGATCAGGGTCGCGTAGACCCAGTAGAAGCAGTTACGCAACACGGTCGAAGAGGATTTGGGCATCTTGTGCCAGGTCTCAAGGAAGCGAGTCTCAAGTGGAATCCCGAAGAAGAAGAGGTAAAGGCTATAGAAGATATCGACTGGTTGCGAAACGTACGTTCCGGTACGCCCCTAGCCGAGGATCTGTGGGAATGGATGAAGTTGGGGCCGAAAAAGTTCAGTATAGACGACGAGACCATGTTTTGCAATCCGGAGATTCTCAGGCAGATTATAAATTCTAAAACCATATTTGACAAATTGGACAAAGTGGAGATGCGTAAAGCGAGAACTCGTTCAAATCCGTACGAAACGATACGCACTGTCAATTTTCTGAATCGCGCCGCTGTCAAAATGGCGAACATAGACAGAGCATGCGAATTCATGTTTACGGATCCGAAGAGCTTGGATCCGAACGAGCTGCTGTACTTCGCGGATGTGTGCGCCGGTCCGGGTGGCTTCAGCGAATACGTTCTCTCTCGGAAGAAGTGGCACGCCAAAGGATTTGGATTTACCTTGAAGAACGAAAATGACTTTACGCTGGACGAGTTCTTTGCTGGCCCGTGCGAGACTTTCCATCCGTTCTACGGCGCCAAAGACAACGGTGATGTATTCGACGCGCAGAATCAAGAGGACTTTAGATTGCTGGTGATGAAGCATACCAATGGTAAAGGCGTACATTTTATGATGTCGGACGGAGGATTCTCGGTGGAGGGTCGAGAAAATATACAGGAGATTCTATCGAAGCAATTATATCTATGTCAGTGCCTAGTGGCACTGATGATAGTGAGACCAGGAGGACATTTTGTTACAAAGCTGTTCGATTTGTTTACGCCTTTTAGCGCTGGGCTTGTCTATCTGATGTACAAGTGTTTTGACAGTATTTCCATTTTCAAGCCCAATACCTCCAGGCCAGCTAATTCGGAACGTTACTTAATATGTAAGAGGAAAAAAATTGATACACAAGCGACGATCGATTATCTCTCTCACGTCAATCGTTTGCTTTCAATGAACGACGAGAACAACGACGTAATTGAACTGGTACCCCTCGACGTAATAGAAGCGGACACGGAGTTTGTCGGATACCTGAGAAATTCCAATGATATTTTGGGAAGGAAGCAGATAGTAAATCTTCTAAAAATCGCGGCATTTTGCGAAGATCCGACATTAATTGAGCGTAAGCAAGCGGACATGCGGAAGGAGTGCCTCAAGTATTGGAACTTGCCGGACAAAACTAGAGTAAGGCCCCCAATGACAAAGCCGCAAGACAAGGCACAGGAGATATTGAGTGGCTCCATAACGTTACTCGGTTGCGACGCAACGAAATTGAAGAACGACAACATACACAGTACGCTATTAAAAACAGGCGAACCGTATGACTGGTATTGCATGCCGTGCGGTACAGGCCCAAACATCGAGGAAGACAAAATAGCAACGTTTTACTTAGGTCTAGGAAGAAGAAAAGTATACCGATACGCAAAAGGCAAATGGGAATCGGTAGGAGACGCAAAGATCGAATTACCGTCCAACACACTTGTATACGCTGAACTGGTATACGAAGCAAAGTGGAATGGAAAGTTTATCTCGAAGACACGCGCGTTACACATTTTGGATGCTTATATGCTCGGTGGAGAAGATATAAGCAAGCTGTACATATCCCATAGGTAAATACATCTTTCTTTTGCTTCGTCAAATATAGTACAAAATTGTAAAATATTAGTAATACGATTTATATTGATATTGTAATATATTAGTATATTCTTATTGGTATATCCTTATGCATACATTACTTAAAAATATGTAAATTAATTAAATACAGATCAAATTGAAAGTAACATGCAACATAATGGTTTCTCCACAATATACGCGTATTAACGAATAATATTGCAAAGTTTGTATAGTCCTTGTAATTAAACTATAGCAAATGTAAATATCTGTTAAAGATATAATTATAGCATATCGTCGAGTAGATTGATTTAATCTTAAATATATGAATATAAATTCAAAAGGATTACTGTGAATAATCATGTGCTACTTATAACTAATATTTTAATGAGTAATATTTAATATTTCAGGTACGAACTCACGAAAAAGTTTTGCGACGCGCTATGGAAGCCAGTCCCGAACGATTGCATTTGCATTCGTGCTAAAGATAGGTTCCTGCTAAAGCCAGATATACAGAAAAAATTACAAGTCACACAACGCCGCGCGCTGAAGCTGCCCCTCGCATACGGGTTCGCAAAGAGTCCTCTGGAATATGACGACGAGACTGATGCGAACGAACCTGTATACGCAGCGTTTAACAGTGTGATGTTCCTGCGAAGTATTGCGTCTCCATGGGCACGTCACATTAGCCGAAGAACCGGTGAATTTTATGTTTATAATTTAATTACCCGACAAACCGAGTATGAAGTTCGAGATAAAGCGAACAACAGGCCGGCTGAAGCCGAGGCAAGTTTCGTTCAAGCGTTTAAAGAACGAGTTGTCTGGAATTGGCCGAATGAATCTACATTGACTATGGATGTTTTTTCTCAAATGCTAAATTCATCGAAGCGTACTTAGCTTATAGTACAAATGTGCGTATATATTCGTTGTACATACTGTAAAGTTACATTTGTGTGTGTATATAGTTTGTATATATAAATCGTCAAAATTTTTGACAATACAAAAAATTAAACCGAATAAATCTATATAATTAATTCTATATAATTAATTTTACGGTATTATTTTCAGCTCTGTCCGTGCGCTTATGGATTACTTGTGAAAGATGAAAGCGAAAGCGAAGTTTCCATCAATCTAATGCCTATATTTTATTTTATTATTATTTATGAAATTATTATTCATGAAATTATTTCGCGTCCAACTATAATTTACGTAAACTATAATACAATTATTTGGACAAGTGTCTAAGTCAATTTTTTTATTAAAAAAAAAATACATTAGTCCGATGAGAGCAAGCGTGGCGTAGCAGACAGCGCACTGGTCTGCTAAACCAAAGATCTCAGATTCGAATCCAGTCCTAGTAGAAGCAAAATCAAAAAATTGTATCCCTTGTCTCTCCTCCTCGATAGAATGGCAACCCATCAGGAATATCCCTTGCCTAGAAGAAACTCCCTCTACCTTGCGCACAACAAGCACACGACTTTGGGGGAGAGACGTAAGTCCGACTCGGACTGTTGCGCCATTAAATTGAATTGAATTGACATTAGTCCGATAATCACAGAAACTTGTCATCAGTTGCTTTCCATTTGCATCAAAACTCAGATAATTCTCACTTGTGATGTCATTCTGTCTTTATTATTTATTAATTCCCAAAAAGGATAGAACGACGTCATAAGTGAGAATTAGCTGAGTTTTGATGTAAATGGAAAGCACCTATTGTCTACTGTGACTAATCAGACGTTTCTAGTCATTAAACGAAAGAGGATTCTTACACAATTACTAAATACATATCGCTTATTGGTGCTTGAACGACATTTCAATGTAAATTAGGACACTGCAAAAGATCAGGAAGATTTCATATAACACATGCTAATAACTAATTTACATAATTTTATATAAATTGATTCAAGTATATATCCATTCGATTTTGATCAATTTTAGTAATTTAGATAGCAAACAATTCAACAATATATAAACAATAAACGCGTAAAATGGAAATATATATAGATATAGATCTATATCTATATCTATAATGGAAATATATATAGATATAGACTATGCACAACGTTTTTGCGTAAATTCAGTAATCTAACTATATTTGTAATTGTAAAAATGTATTTATATCTTCCTCAAAAACATTTGTGAAAAATTTGCACAAAACGTATGTGTATATACTTAGAAAAGTGCATAATATTTGTTTTCACGAATTGCTTTAAATAAAAATCTTATTTTTTTACACGTATTAGAATAATTACTTTTCGTGTAAATATTAAGGGAAAAAAGGACTGAATGTAAGAACGTGAAATATAAATACGTGTGCGAAATTATATGTATATACACAACATATAAATGTACGTTATATTAAAAACGATCCTAACTGTATATAAAATAGTATATTAAGGTTCGCATAAAATTATTAACTTGCACAAACATTATATTTTTTCTTGAATAACAATTCCTTATAATAAAAAATACTTATTTTAACCTTTAAACCGCCGGAAAGCCTAAATATAGGCTCTGCGTATGATCGGAACTTTGTATATGTTATACATATATAAGATATAAGCACAACAATTTGAGGACTTTCTAAGAGGATTAAAGCTCATCAAATGCCGGCGCTCTAAAGGTTAAGAAAGTACTTAGAGAATTATATGAAAATTATACGTAATATTCAGAATTGTATAACTATTTTTAAAAACTACTAATAGATTTTTACTCATAAGATATCTGTTATCACAATGTCTATTATACGCATGCGGTAAAATGCATAGTAGAATGCACGTATTAAAAAAATGTTGACGCAGTATCGCAACTGTATATAGCTAATTATGCTTTTTTTGCGCGTTTTTTCAAGCAATTTCCCTGGTATATATAAATACATTCCACTGAAGTTCAAAATAATCAATCAGGATAAATCACCATTTTTACTCTCATTATTTCATGTTAATATATTAAGTATTTATTTAATATACAAAATATGTACATTTATACATATATAATACAGTCGATGGCAGCAGAGGTATACAAAGTATGAATCGTAACGATGCAGTCTTTTTTAAATCAAAGATCAAAATTTGCTCTAGGATTTTCGGTCTCCAAATTTCTATGACAGCAGAAACTTGAAGATTCAAAATCTTATAAATTTTCCATATATGTCTTAATTAGATAAAATTATAATACACGATTTTTTAATAAAAAAATAGCGAAATTTAATTATCTTAAATTTTGTGCCTTCGTTAAAATTAACAATGATTTAATATTATAATCTTTAGAAACGATGGAAGATACATTAGATACTAATATGCAAAATTATTTCAACTTAATTATTTTTGGCAGTTACATACGAACTATAATAATACTATTACAATAGTATTATAACGGTATGTATTTAACAACTAGCAATCCTTGGTAACAGAAGTTGTGCTAGGATACTCTGAAGCCTTGCTGCCCAAACTTTAGACAACTTTGAATATTTGTTCGCGTTACATAAATTGATTGTAGATCCAATGTCCATTTCTATCTTTCCATTAGTAACAGGACTACGTAATAATAAAATCATATGGCCATACCATGGCTATCTACTTGAACCTGTCATAACGTCAACCAACTTATGGCACTTTACACGCTTTATAACATCTCTAGAATCCAAAAGAGGAAAATAAATATATAATGGAACATAATAAATCACAAAATGTATCATCTGTGGTAAGAAAGAATGGTGGTTGCCCATAAGAGACGTTGCCAAATCCATCGTGGTACCCTGCACGGCACGAGGTTGGTCATCGCGCCGGCCAAGTGACGAACCCAGTCCCAGATGCCCCAGGGCGCGTGTCCGCCGTTAACGTAAAGAACATATGTAAAACCGTCCTTACACTTTCCCCGGATCGAGTAATAATATGGAAGGAAACTGTGCAACCGAAAGTGACACCTCTGATAAAACAATATAGCGGGAGCGTTGCTGGAGAGCACGTGTAGGAAGACTGCCTTTACGGAGGAACGTTCGGGTGCGGTGACGTGGGCGAGTAGCTGTTCCAGTAGCAACGAGGCTATGCCGTTTCTCCTATACGCGCGACGTACCCCTAAACTGAGTATATAACCCACTAGACAATTCTTTCCCAGGCTGGAGCATAAGATGCCGCGATCCTCCTTGTTCAACCTGGCGTAAGGCTTTATCTCCGCGACGATCAGCCCTATTATTACTCCACCGTATACCGCTGCGAGTGCGTAAAACCTCGACGAGCTCGTGATGTCTTCGTACCATGAATTTGGATAATCTGTGCAGATAGAAATTAATCATTAGTTCTATTTTATTAATAGTTTAAAGTTTAAAAGTAACATTTTGTATTATATTATTGATTTATAGCAAATTGGAATGTACAAATAGAAAAAATCCCGCTTGATATGTTTTTAATAAAAGAAGATATACATGTTTCTATGAGATACTATGAATAATTCAATTTTAAAATTTAACGACACTATATCTCAGCAATTGAAAAGCATTAAATATTAATAGACTCACATATATCTCTTTACTACGATACTAATCTAAAGATTTGCTCACAACGTTTATTTTGAAACTTGAAATATGTGTATTTTGTGTAGTTTCTGTATTGTCTTGATATGACAAACTCTTTCTCCTCAGGTACAAAAGCGTATCTTTCTTCTCATCTTTCCCCAATTATTTACATCTTCATCAGACAAAGGGAAAGACATGAGAATTATGCTAACGCTGGCAGCTTAGACTCCAGCTCTCACCTATGGGGAACCAGTCTTGGCAGAGGGAGCGCACCTCCTCCAGGTCATCGGGGCAGAGGAAACGCAGTTGCACCTCACCCAGGACGCACAACGGCACCGTGACCGCCGATGTCGTCACCGTGACCGCCGGCGTCGTCGCGGAGGTGGTCTTCGTCGGGCCGCCACCGCCGCCGCCGCCGCTGCCGCTACCGCCGCCGATGGTGGTGGTGGTGGTGCTGATCGAGCAGTTCCTCGCGACGGTCTCATCCGCGGTGTACGGGGCGCGCTGCTTGACGTCGGGCAGCCCGACGTCGCTCGCGGCGACGGCGCCGCCGGGCTCGCTGTCGTCGATCTCCGGCAGGATCACCGGCAGATACCGGTTAAAGGGCACGACCATCGCGCCGCGACTCGCCTGGTCTCACCTCGTCTCGGCTCGTCATTTGTGCGTCGCTGCGAGTCGAACGGTGGCGATGAGAGACGTCAGGCGGCGACGGCGACGCGTCGCTCGTCGCTCCGGTCCGTCACTCGTAGTAAACACACGGCAGCTGCGACGCGGAGGCAAATATCTTCTGCCTCTTCCCAAGTAGTCCTCCTCCGTTCGCCTTTTATTGTCGGTGCACGCAATGCCGCCGCGCGAGCGCGACGGACGGACGCGGGCAGGCCGTGTGTGATGACACGCGTTCGTTGTTTCTCCGCGCCTCCCGGCTCCCCCCGCCCCCGAGTAAACGACCCTCTGCCTGCGGACACGTGCAGGTCGGCCACACGAAGCTCCTCCGAGGCTCCCCTGGACTCTTGCCAACGTACGGCGCGATCCGAATCGCGCGCAAGCGCCAATAAAGGCTTGTCAACCGGGACTCCGGAGTCCGGGGAGGAGTAGTCGATCAACAAATACAGCTGTTTCTGACAGTCTCAAATCGTGAAACGATCCAGAAAAAATTAGAGCACGTGAAAAAGCGACTGTCTTCACGATAAAACAAATCTCTTTTCGATCGAATCCCTTTCGCGTCTCTTTTTCTTTTATCGTCGATGAACACGGGGCTTTAAGCGACCTCGCGGTGGTCACGTGTGGAGTGTCTGCGCGAGCGAGTTGCTCCGAATCAGCTGTTGACGGCCGAGCCACACTTCGCTCCACAGTGGCCACACACACACACACACGCACGCACGGCGACACGGCGGCTCTTCCAAGTTTCGCTGATCACCATGGCGGCAAACAAGACCGTCGTCGTCCTCGCGCCGAACGGTCGCCGGCAGAACGTGAGGGTTACGATTAACACGACGATCCTGCAGGTGAGTTCGATGGGGATTTAACGCGACGTTCGCGTGTTCGTGTAAGTTCAATTGAAACCGGAAAAAGTAACCCGAGAGCGTTTTTCTCGACGCGGGTCTTCAAACGGATGGATTCTCTTGCAGGTTCTGGAGGAGGTATGCCAGAAGCAGGGCTACAACGCCGACGACTATGACATTAAGTGAGCACGACACTCGGAGACTTGGACTTTCCAACAATGATATAATTTCCGTAATACGCCGTACATTACATACATCGATCGCTCGCTACTGTTTACAGACACAATCGTCAGATATTAGATCCTAACACGATATTCCGCTTCGCCGGTTTGCCAAATAACGTTCAGCTGGAGATGGTGGCCTGTACGAGGGTGCGCTCGGCGTCGAACGTCACGATCGGCATTCAACCGGAGGACGGGGAGAGAACGTTGCGCGAGTTTCCGCCCGACACGACGCTGGCTCGGGCATTGATGGATATGTATCCCGACGCCGACCTTGAGAGAGCTGTGTTGATCTACATGCATCGTGAAGTACGTATATATGTGTATATGTACGGTATACCTGCGCGCAATGTAGAAACTGACGTTGACGCGATACGTAATTACGTGTATGACGCATAAGCGTGCGAATGAAGGACTGAAGGTCACATGTGGAATCTTTTCCTACAGGTATGCGGCAGAGAAGCGTTAGAGAAAACGACGTTGAAGTCGCTGGGTCTCAACAGTGGAAAGGCAATATTGAGACTGATGTATCGTGACCACGAACAGTTAAAAACTCAGGCACACGTATCTACTCCTTTGCTTCCAAAGACAGCCGCAACGGTAGATGATTCGACAAGCGATAAAGATCACCAAAGGCTACCATCGTCCACGCTACATTGTAATAAGAATGATGTTAATTTATCGAAAGGTGTGTCGAAAATAGAAAATCAAAAAAAGTCGGAAGAAGATGTAAAAATGGATACGAAAGATGAAGTAAATGCGTTCAGTAACGAGAAACAAGAGAGAAATATATCTGAGATAAGAGAAAGTCCAACCATTGCGTCCAACCGTGAGGATCAGCGTATTGCAGGAACATGCGCAAAAGTCGAGGAAAACGCGTATGAAATTAAGTTTGTAAGGTGTAATTGTGCATACGTGTGCAATCGCATTCGCGTGACGGATTTACTTATCGAGGATCACGTGTTACAGTTAGGGGAAAGAAACGCTCTGGTGTTCAATCAAGCCGGGACTCAAGCGCTGCCGAGGGACGAATTGCCGGACAGCTTCTTCGATCTTGATCTGCACGACGCGAAGGCACTTTTGCGAGATGCCAAGCGTCGTAGAGAGCAGCTCGAGGACGCTCCGCTTCTGACGGAGACGCAGCGTCAGCTGGATCGGGACAAGCACATTCTGGACCGATTGAACAAGTATCGTCGCACCGTGATTCGCGTACAATTTCCCGATCAGTTCGTTCTTCAGGGTTTATTCGGACCGCTGGAGACTATCCAAACTGTTAAGAACTTCATCAAAAACTACTTGGACGATCCGGATTGCGAATTCACTATCTGTGAGTGTGAACGACATGCAATCATCACATTCATTTTTTTATGCAAAGGCGAACATGTATTGGTTCTTGTTATTGATAAAATTTCATTACTCCTTTTTTTCTTGCCAGATACTAGCCCACCAAGACATATCTTAAACTCCGACGCACGACTGATAGACGAAAATCTTGTTCCCTCTGCTATCATTTACTATTCTGGACAATCGTTGCTAAAGTCGAGTGTAAAAGCAAAATTGACAGATCCTAGAGCCGCTGGTATCGAAGCCGTGAAATCTAGGTAAAGTATACTGATTGCGTCGCTCGATGTAGAGATTGTCTCGCTAAATTTTTTTTATATACCTCATCTACAGGACTGCTACGATGCGGAAAGAACAAGATCCAACTACTGGAAGTAATAGAGGCACAGTTGTCGAGAGTAATCATGTCACTCCAGGACCGAGTGGTAGCGGTAAATCATCATCATCATCTCAGAATCAAAACAAGACACCAAAATGGTTCAAACAGACATTCAAATAATCGATTACCTAATAGCACCGAAAGGTGATTCGTTAAATTTTAATATAAACATGCCATACGGGATTCTTATGAAGATCCATGTATACGCGAGCACGAACGCGTATACATATGTGTCGTCATACGTATTCCTCCAACAAATCTTAATAAAATATAAAATCTGTACACAACAAACGTCCGTGTCTCTCATTATTCTAATTGAAATGTACAAAGCTTTACACATAAGACTCTGATGCTTAGTAAAATTAGTTACAAAAGTGAAAATAAAATGGTACATATACAAATAGGATTCTTACTATCTAACTCTATGGCCGCGGTAATAACATCTTAAATGTTATATCTGTATATATATATATATATATATATATATACAGATTATATATATATAATTTGTATGAAAAACAGTGATATAGCCGAGTGTGATGAAAAGTACAATTGTGAAATATGTATCAATGGTACTAACTTCGTGATAAAGGTGCTTTGATCGATAACATTAAGTATATATTTTAAGTAATAAATGTGTAATAATAATTTGGATAGCAATGAGATTTTAGTCCATTGTCTTTTCTCCTTGGTTGAAATGGCAAATGCTTAATGTACTTTGCAGAATGAAGCGAAGGTTGTAATAATGTTTACGAATTTTAACGTGAATCGACTATGTTAATCATCTACTATGTAGTGCCATTAACTTTGTAAGTCGGGCGGTACCGTCGTAGGCGATTGCAACTGCAGATGCATGAGCCTTCGCACGGGACCACCGATTATGTTTCCGGCCGGGCCGGAGCCGCCGGCCTCGGCTTCGATACTTTCTCGCAAACTTGCCTCTACGGGATCCGCGCTATTATTATCGTCATCCGCTACCGAATTCTCGTCTTTTACCATCTGCGACTGCAGCTGCGAGTCTAACAGCCGCATGTACTTGTCCATATCGCCGCCCTTATCCTCGTCATCGCCACCCAGCGATCCCTCCGAGCTACCATCGAACTCACCCTCTCCTCCCGGAACGACTAAGTCTAGAATGCCTCTTAACGTACTATCGAATACGTCCGCGTCGAAGTCTATTCGCGCGCCATCCTCCGCGTCTTGCATATCATTGTCCATCGATTGCTCTCTGTAAATGAAATTGACGATTATCTCCCTTCACTACGTTTTACGAATAAATCATAGTTAATTATGTTCCTCCAGAATTGTCTATTCTGACAGATAAAAATCATACTCTAAGAAATGCACGCCATCAACGTCGCTGGTTTGGTTGAGAAACGTTTGCACTTTTTCTCGAAGACTTAAAGGTTCTTGATCCAATTTTTTATTAACGTTGCCCCACTGTTGGTTTAAATACACTTCTAATTGCGCCGGGTCCACATTTAACCAACTATCGGTATCCGCGGGGCTCAACATAGTCTCATCTTGAGCTGCGTATAGAAAATACTCAATTATAGCTAAATGTACAACGGTTTGAGAAAATCATTTGTATACTACTTTTTAAAAATAGTAATTTGAATTTAATATGTAAATAGTAATTAAATATGTAAATAACAAATTACCATGCATTTCAATGTCATTCGTCTGTATGTTCTCCCATGCTTCTAAAACTTTTTGAGCATCGCTTTCGTACAAATTCGTTAGATTATCAAATAAAGTCGCATGCTTCAAGAAATACTCTTTCGCTGTGGACAGCAGCTTATCACGTTCCTGACTACCTTCCAACAGATCTCTAAAGTAACCGTTCGCCTCTAAACGAGCTAGGTAAGCGTTGAAAGCTGGTTCGTTCAGCTTTAACTTTTCACCGTCGTCGGGAACGTCCGACTGTTCTTTGATACGTTTTCTACGTTCCTCATTGGCTCGAGCTACTAGCATCTCTAAACCGCATGCTATTTTAACTCCGAGAACATGAGCATTGTATTTTGAGCAAGTCGCAGGTGGGATGTTCCAACCTGTTTTTGGATCACCGGTATAACGACAGTGCTTCGCCATCGCGTACAAACACTTGGTCATTTTAACATTGACCATTGTTCGTTGCTCGGGAGGGAAATACCTCATGGCGCGACAAACCTATAAATATACGGTAGTATTAACAGGTATAATATACATATAAAATCGATTATACACATAAAAAAAGATTAAATCAATTCAATTGTACTTTTCGTTCAAATGGATCCGAATGGCAGATAGTTCTAATCACTGAAGATATAAGTCTTGGTTCTAGACGAAGTATAGAGGCCGCCTTCTCTGGAAGGTACGCCCTCGCCTTGTGCTTCCTCTTCCGAATCTCATCGGGATAGATGCCGAGTCGCTTTTGCAACACAAGCTGTACCTTCTCGGACATCTTAGAGATATGTGGCTTGCCATTTATATTATTTAGTAAATTGGGAAACGACGTTCCCCTCTCTCTAATAACATGAATATCACCGTTATGAATGAACACTCTGTCCTGGCACGTTTCGGGACTGGCCCAGAGCGGCAGGACATTAGCGGCTTCTATCAGTAGAAACTCTCCGTCAGAGTCCACTACTCTTGCGATCAATCCGTCAAAGACTTTGGTGAGCCTAAATATCAGGAACACCGTCAGCCACTCGTCGCCTATATCCTCGTCGAAACGCAGACTCGCATAGATATGGGGCAAGGTATGATAATCTAGCAAAAGTTGATCGATTATCGATTATTGTTGATTGTTTATCAAGGAACTACAGCTGCAACAAGTTGAAATAAACTATTCACCTTCCTCCACCGCCGATCCCTCGAGGGTTCGGTTCAGCAGCATCGCCTGCTTGGTTCTAGGACGGAATGTTAAGCTGTCACTGTGCCAGATGTGATCGGCGACAAACGGGGCGATTTCCTCATTGTACTTGGCGACCTCCTCGCTCAGCCGGGCCTCCGTCACCGCGTCCGGCTCGGCCGCGTAGCAGAACTTGGGATAGAGGAAACATTCCATGATATCCTCCTCTTTGGTCTTGCTCGTGAGCATCGCATTTGCCATTTTCTGACGTCGCATCTGAAATCCCCGCGAAGACCGCGAATTCCCTCCGTCGAGCGCGCGCGCGCTTATACGTCACCGCGTTCACCAGATCGGCTCGGGCTCGGAGCAGTCGCGCGATTGCCTCACGGCGGCTCGCCTGCCATGGGCGTTCCTCGTGGATGACCGCATAGACCGATAAAAAGCGTGACTGAAGTTGTTTACTGCATTATTAAGGCGCGGACCATAACCTCACAGAGGCGACTGCCGCCGTCGAATCGACGCAGCCGCGGGCAGTAGGCACGCGCTCTGTGACGCGCGAGTCTAACCCTGACCTAACCTAACCGCGACCCGCTTACCTAACCTCCGTGCTTAATCATTCAGGAGATGCCGTCTGACAACTCCGACACGATCGCGTCGCAGTACTCGCGTAACTCGCATTCTGTGCATTTGTGCGATGTGCGTACGATGGGGTGGGACGTGGGGCGCATGAGTGTAGACGCGCGTTCGGTTCTCCGCTGAGGGACACGGGCGGGGATACGTGAATTAAGGTCTAGGCCGATGAGGCCGCCGTCGTGACGAGATAGAGTCGTTCAGTCCCTCGATGGACCCGGCTTCCTCGGTCGCATGCCGCAGTCAACGGTAATCGCGAGCGAGCCTCGGAGAACGATGCCGAATGTCAGGAACTACCCGGGCGGTCGGCATCGGGGCTGCTTGCGCAAGTACCGGCTGGTCTTCGCCTTTGGCATAATCATGCTGTGCGTCCAAGTCTATCTGCACACATATTTCGGTCTGGTCAATGACAAGAGCAAGTCTAGCCGGTTGTCGTCCGGAGAGGTAAGCTCCCTAAACCTTCCCTTGGAAGATAATGATACATCATGGGTTTGTTTTCTATTGCTGAACTGCCTGCACTAGTTCGAGAACTGTACATGTACATTGAGGCGTGAGAAACGTACATGTAACATTCTCTCTTTAGTCTATGTACAGTTCTTGAACTAGTGCAGCCAATGCAGCAATAGAAAATAGACCCAATAATAGATAATAATGACAGATAATGATAGATAATAATGATATATGATGATAGATAATGATAGATAACAATGATAGAAGCACTTGCCAATTCATTACTCACTGGTGCTTTCTGCCAACTCGCAGGGTGGTTCTTCCCAACCTGAGGAGGATGAGGGCCTGCCGAAAGGCTTACGTCAACTGAAACTTCCACCCGACAAGCAGGCAAACTCGAACAAGCAAACTCACATGCAGTCCCAGCTAAGAAATCGCACCGCCAGAATTAAGCTAGATCGCAAATCATTGAATTTCACACCTGTGTGCGATGTTACGGTCCGGGAGGCGGTGAGCGCCGTAACGCGTGCCCAGAGTCAAGCATGCAAGCAACGCATTGTCAATGTGACGTGCCTTAGCCAGCAGGGTTTGTTGTACCCGGAAAGAGTACAATCTTTGTGTCCCCATTCTCCAGGTTTTAGAGGCATCCCGATCAACTTGGGCTGCTTCAAGGACGATAAAACACTGAGAGCGCTCTCCGGTTATTATCACGTCTTTAAAGGGAACAATACGCCCGAGCGTTGCGCTTATATGTGTCTTCAATCGGGATTTCCGTACGCCGGCACAGAGTACTCGTTAGTGTCCGATGCGATTGAAATACAAATATGCTACGATAATTCTTTCGAAACGTGTCACGGACGTGTGATTTTAGGATGGAATGTTTCTGCGGAATGGAAGAGCCGCTACAGACGAAACGGTTACCAGATTCCAGCTGCAACATGAAATGTTCCGGCAATCCGAAACAGACGTGCGGTGGTTATTTGACTATTAATATATATTCAACTGGAATTCAAAGTACGCGAATACAAGTGAATACGCACAGACAGCTATGGGATTTATTAATTAATTTTTTTCGTCTTTCGACAGAATTTAAGGCTCAAGAGGCGAGAAACTCGAGTTTAAAAAATGAACTCGAGCAACCTGTGCGAATAGCTTATCTGCTGACGGTGAATGGCAGAGCGAGTCGGCAAGTGAAACGACTTATCAGTATTTTGTATCATCCCTCGCATTTTTTTTATATCCACGTTGACGCGGTAAGTGCGATAATATAAAAGAAAAGAATTATTAACTCTAATTTGGATAAGATAAAGATATTGAGTAATTACATCGTGAAGCATAAATTTCTCAATTACACATTTCTATTTAAAATCTTCTTTTAGATCTGTAGTAGTTTCCAAAATTGTTTCTATTATAAACTTATTACACTGGGGAACAATAGATTAATAAATAGATTAATATTGTTTCAAACAAATTGTATATTTTTTCAGAGGCAAGATTATTTATATCGCGAAATGTTGGAACTGGAAAAATGGTGTAAACTAAACAATATCAAAGTGGCAAGAGGAGAGGGCTTGCGACACGCGAGTATTTGGGGCGGCGCGAGTCTTTTGACGACATTTTTGAAGTCCGCGCAACAGATGCTCGCCTATCATCAACATTGGGATTTTCTCGTAAATCTATCGGAATCCGATTTCCCTTTGAAAAGCAATAATCAGTTGACCGAGTTTCTCAGTTGGAATAAGGGTATGAATTTCGCAAAATCGCACGGAAGGGAGGTTCAGCGTTTCATAGCTAAACAGGGTTTAGACAAAACTTTTGTCGAATGCGAAGCACGCATGTGGCGAACCGGTGATCGAAAATTACCAGATGGTACGTTAAAGAATCACATATATTTTTATTCATACACAAATTTCATAAATTTTCTAGCTTTTTTATATATTTTTTTAAACTAAAATATTAAGTAATTGAATTGATTGTTTCTGTGAACAGTATATGTATATATGCATATATTATATATATAATTATCATATATTTTTCATAATTCTTGCAGGTATTCAAATTGACGGTGGTAGCGACTGGTTTGCTCTGAGCCGAGACTTCGTCGAGTACGTTGCCGATCCGAATCCCGATCAACTGGTAGCCAATCTATTAAAGCTGTTTAAATACACCTTACTGCCAGCCGAGTCATTCTTTCATACGGTCTTGAGAAACTCACGATTCTGCAATACTTATATAGACAATAATCTGCACATGACAAACTGGAAGAGGAAGTTGGGTTGCAAGTGTCAGTACAAGGCTGTTGTAGATTGGTGCGGATGCAGCCCGAATGATTTTAAACTCGAGGACTTTAATCGGCTGCGAAACACGGTGGATCGCAATATATTCTTTGCCCGTAAATTTGAATCTGTCATCGATCACCGAATCATAGACCGCGTGGAGGAATGGCTGTATCCCGACCGAATGAACAAAACGACTAGATTGAGGGGCTACAACATGTACTGGCAAAGCCTGTATCATCACGCGGACTTGAGCCCACTACCGGACGACGCGTTGTTAACGCTCTCGTACTCCTTGGCGAGATTGGTTTACCGCAAGCTGAACATAAATAACAAAAATGTCCGCCTATTAGAAAATACCGCGTACTTTCGCGACAATCGTTTCGCTGGTATACTAATTCTGGCGGAGAACAAAGAAGAATACTCCGACGTGTCTGTACTGCCCGACGGTCGCGCGAGACGTGTGGAAGCTTTGGTCTCGATGCGACACAATTTTTCTGCCAGTAGATTATGGTCAGGAAAAATACGAAGTCTCTCTGTTAGCACGGATTACGATCAAAAGGAGCAGACGTTTAGAAATTTGATGGGCAGCATGGGGCCGTACTCGACTCCGGTCTTGGCTTACGAGTTCGACGCGGGTGTTACGATACCGCAGAATGTATCGATCCTATGGATTGATCCACATGGCCGCCTCGCCGACGTGAATTATCTCCTGCTTGAAGAGATGACCTTGGTGATTATCATATGCAACACCAAACTTTTTCTTAAGGTGCCTTTTCATGCTGACGCTCGACGCTCATTTTCAGCGGCAAGAAGGTCGCATGACCACAATTGACGCCGGCGTCAATTGAAATTCATGAAAAGGAAAACAGCGTCAAAATTTCGGCGTCTTCGCGTTGCTTTGGCTTTGACGCTTGAAGTTGGAAAAATCCAACTTCTCTTTCTTGACGCTGGCATCATAGTGATGTCACGTGACGTCGCTCAACGCTGTTTTTCAGCGTCCCATGAATTGGCACCTTTACAGAACTTTCTTATTTCGTAACCGGGTATCATATAACTTCATGTATGTCTTTTCAGGTGGGACATGTTAAGCCGCAGCTAAACGAGCAACTAGCCGTTGGTACTTGGCGACTATTATTAGTTGCCGACACTCAACTGATGGCAAAATTAAAATTCTTGATAAATCCGTTATCCTACTGGAAGACAAAGAAGATAGATTTGGACAAGGCGAAGAAGATACTAGACGGTCCGAGCACCGTCTATCACATCACAGAGGAGATGAATAAAAGCTGGTCGAAAATAGCGAAAGCGGCGATGGCGAACGAGCCGATTACGCACAGTCAAAACAGGATCGGTGAGGACCTCGACGATTGGTTGGACAGATTAGTATACGAGCACTATGAGATCGGCGAGGTATGCGACGCCGACGATGAGATTCGGTCCGAATCGAAGCTACAAAAGTGTCTCGACACCCCTTGGAGCTCTTTGAGCCCCGATTCAAAGGCTGATACTCGTAACCTATGTCAAAACTACTAATTAATTATTTTACCAACTACGTGCCATTTTCGCCCGTTTTGAAACCTATTGTACGTGTATAAAGATTACAAGACGTCTTTAGATATTTTTATATCGATTAAAAGCTGTACATATATATACTTCATATTTATAAGAAAAAAATGGTATATATATATATATATATATATAAATATATGTATACATAAATTTTTGCTATATGTTGTGCGATTAATATTTCTGTCGGATATTTTCACATTAAAGATTAATGGATTATATTGATAAGGTGGAGTGTCGTTTTCTTTGTATCTTAAAAAAGTACCGAGAGATATATTCTAAAGAACTTTTGGAATACTTTTTTGTTCAATGATAACAAATTTTGATAAAACATTTTATTTAAACAAAAAAAAATAATGATTATAGTTAATTAGAACAAGATTCTTCTGCCTCTTCGATTGTGATCCAGGTCTAAAAATCAATTCATACGTTTTTTCATAACTCGTGCTTCGCAGGTGTGCGTGTTCGGTTTCGGCTTACGTCACGTGCTTTTTTTTTAGTTAGACGCTTGCGGAAATTCGTCATTCATGATTGTTGGAAAAACCGAAGATATCTAATATAATATATCGCATTTATCATTTATTTCAATTCGACTCAAAAGTTTCTAACTTGAATCGCGAACGTAAATTATATTGGGTGTTTATAAACAAATCCAAGAAAAAAAATATATAAAAATTACGTGCAATTTTTTTTTTTAAACAATCGATCGCGCTTTATCAGTCGGATTTGTATCAACAACATGGCGTCGCCAATCAGGCTCGGCCAATCTCTGGAACTTGACGCGCTTCACGCGCCGGCGAGCCCCGTCGCCCGTCGTGTCGTCACGTTAAAATCTGCGGCGCGCGGCGTGCACGCGCAAAGTCACGGAAGTGGAGTATCTGCGCGAGCCGACCGTGTTGACATCTAGGAAGTTTAAGATGTCGGGGAATGTTTTGTGCGACGAGCCGCTGGTATGTTCGCGGACGAAATGACTTGCTCGTTGTGGCGTACGTCTGCTAAATTCCGGCCTAAGTTAAATCCCAAAGTGTTGTAAGAGCGCCACGCCGCCGCGGTGGGGCCGTGGCCAGCCAGGTCGTCCCAGCCGTCTGTCGCCGCCGACGCCGACGCCGACCCTGTGCGCGAGCGGGGCAAGGGTGAGGAAAAAGACGAAGAGGAAGAAGAAGAAGAACGAGGAGGAGACCGAGGAGGCGCGAGACGAAGGCGAGCGCGAGGACTGCCAGTGTATTGCCAGTGTGTATGTGTGTGTCCGCGTACCACTGCCAGGACCTGAGGTACCCGGGACCCCGGGGGGTCGCGTTCCTCCCTTCTCGCTCTTCTTCCTGATCGACCGTGCGAAAAACCCGCGCGGGGGTGACAGGTGAATTAATATCGGACGGGAGGCGCGGACGCAAAATATATAGGGGGTGGAGAGAGAGAGAGAGAGCGGGCGGCCGAGCACGTGGTGTGACGATTGTTGTTTTTTTCCAAATTCATCACTCTCGACTCTTGGGATGGGAGCCAAGGCGAGCACCGTGGCACAATCCGCCGGCGGCAACGGTCAATCCTCCACCGGGGCGAACGAGACCGCGATGCAGGGCTTCTCCATGCTCCGCTCCCTACCGGGCGGCGTGGGCATGCTCCAGCATCAGCACCAGCAGGCCAATCAGTCGCAGAACTCGCGGATGTCCGGGGACAGCAGGCAGCGTGCGCGCTCGCTGAGCTCCGTCCCGGACCTGTCCACCGCCGAGCAGGCTGGCCTCTCCACCTCGGTCGGGGTTGGAGTCGGCCAGGCCCTCGGCCTGCCGCAGCTCGACTCTGACGACACGGACGAGGAGAGTGGTCGCGTCTACGCCGCTCACAGCTTGCCTTCGCACATTTGGTCCCTCAACGGTAAGCCCCGAGAGTCTCTCGTGCAGATGTTTACATATTTGTATCCCACGGACCGGGGCCCGAAAACTGGCTCGCTCCCCCAGGTCGACAAAGCTCGCTGATTATTACGTGCGTTACGTAGCACGTCGTCAATTTACTACGAATGTACCTTATCGCGGCGCTGAAAGTCAACAAATCGTTATTGTATCATCGAAATATGAATCATTGAACAATTCTCTATTATTCTGTTCCAAGAGAAAGAGCGCGTAGCAATATCGCTGAGATAGTGTCGTCGGATCTTTCGCTAGCAGTTATTTGTCGCGTGTCCGCTGATCTGTCTCGCGTCCATCCGCGAGACGAGATTTTTTTTTTCAGACCTGCCGTCGCGCAGTTTCGCAGGGCATCTGTGCCTCGCGGGGCGTTAATCGCGGCGGTCCCTAACCTAATCGCGGGCGAGCGCCGCAAAAAAGCGAGGTTAGGTCGCGCAACCGCGAGAGCTCCGCGGAGTACGGAGTTCGGTGCGCGTTGCGAGCGACGATGATTCGCGGGTGGGACAGGGGGCGTTTGTTTTGACGCGTGTTGCCGGGGTGGTTGGCCCGGTAACCGCGTACCACAATCGATGATAGCCCCGAGGACACCCAGCGGGGCCCTGGGGGTGAATTTTTGAATCGCGATCGCGAGGAAATTTTGTATTTGCGGCGCGAAACGTGAGGAAGAGGAAAAAAAAGGGCGTGTCGCTCGCCGCGAGGATCGTTCGCGAGGAGGGAAGGATGTGGCTCGGGAGAGGATCGCCGCCGCGCGGGACCGCGGCCCACGGCTGAGGTTATGTCGGGTCTATTATGGGAATAATAGTGAGCTCGTGCCTGAACGAGCACGAGGCCGCGGCCGTGGTCCCGGTGGATCGAGTCAGACGGGTCTTTTACGGTATTATTTGCGCCTTCTGCGATTTGCACAACCCCCAGATTTCCGTCCTCGCCCCCCTTCCCCTTCTCGACCTTTCTTTTCTGACGCTCTCTTCGCCTTCGTGTTTCAAGGTCTAAAGTGTCCCGTATGCTCCAAGTTCATTCTGCCGGATGATATCGAGTGTCACCTGGTCATGTGCCTGACCAAGCCGCGTCTCAGTTACAATGGTAAGTGGGAAACAAGTGGTGACAGGCTTGTATATCTGTCTGATAAACGATGGATACCGTTCTTTACGTGGCAGCGATATGCTCGTCAATAATTTAATAGCTGGTGGTAATTATTACGGTGATAATTAAGTAAGTCCCTTGCTTATTTACACGACAGAGGATGTGCTGACAGATGGAAAGGGAGAATGTGTCATTTGCTTGGAGGAGCTACAATCTGGAGATCTTATAGCCCGCTTGCCCTGTCTTTGTATATATCATAAAAAGTATGTACAACGATTCGATTTATCTATTATTTTGTGTTAATTCCTAGCTCAACATAGGCGATAGAAAATTGATAATAAAGACATTCAATTATCCTAGAAAATTAAAAAAAAAAAATTAAATAAATTGTTATAAATTTGCTATATATTATTTTTTAATATAAAAAATTTTCAATATTAAAATATAATAAATAATGTAGTATTGAAGTGATCGTTAATTACTTAAAGTTGACAAATTTTTTAAAAATATATCACCTTTTTTTAAAAATATTTTTAAAAACATCACCTTTAATTAGTATATTTCAGTATATTATGACGGAATAGATGATATAAAGTTTTGTATTTTTTTTTCTAGCTGTATCGATAAGTGGTTTCAAGTGAATCGTAGCTGCCCTGAACATCCCGGAGATTGATTCGTACCTGCTGAACTTGGTGGAGTATAGTGGAACAAGTTGCTAGCCCAGAGGACTCGCGCCGAAGGGGTTGAGATGGCAGAAAACGGCAGAAAAAAAGAAGCTAGTCAAGGTGGCTGCTAGTCCGCAAATGGTGATTGGTGCGTGCGGTGAAATGTTCGACTGAACGAGACTCGCTCATAAAATCGAACACACACGGAAACACAGATGTTTAATTCAATCCTCAAATCTACTCTTGTTAAGCGGAGGACTTAAATAACAAAAAAAATCGCCATAGGATTCAACGATACAATGCTATTACCTATACGTATCTATAATTAATCTATTATTGCTCTATCGCTTAATATCAATTGTACCATATTTATAAATTTTACTTAGTTTTACATCTTGAACTCGATTTAGCGCTTATAAGCAGGACAATCTTTATTATCTCGATCATGATTTTTGTCTTTTCTTATTCTTTTTATGGTTCTTTATTTTTTCTTTCTGGAAAAGGGGGACAGGACGAATCTTAGTCAAGGGGACCTGCGTAGGAGCAGGTGTGAGCTCTACCTTAGATAAGTTAGTTATACTTTTATTGATTTTTAGTATTGAGACGATATATCGTAATTTCCGTTGTCTGTTGGGGAATGAGTGCTAGAAAGGATATTTTTGATACTTTCATAAAAGGGAGAGCCAGAATGTATAAGAGTTTCAAGCGCTGGAGATGACGACGTAACACTGTTGATGCTGTAGTAACAATAAAGGTTCTGATTTAACCTTCTTTACTGAGAGATTCATACTAATGTGATAAATCTCTTTTGTTGTTATTAGAGAGAATTGACGCGCTCCGTGTTACTAAGATGTACAGTCTATTGTCGATTACTGAGGATTTACCTACTGTATAATTAATCTCTTTTGTATACGGATAAGGATTGACATAACCCAGCAGAAGTAGTTTTTGTAATACGAACAATCAAAGTCTATCATTGTTCCAGTAACGTACGCAAAACCGTATATGTTCGGCTCGGACTTCGTCACTTGCGTGAGGTTTAATGACACACGAACTAACACAGAACAATGAGAGAATACGAGGAGAACGGAGAAATGAGAATGTGGTGCGATGAAAAAAAAAACATGAGAAGAAACTAGAAATAAATTATATTAACAAAATCGAACGCGTAAACATAAAGTATGTACATACATATGTGTATATGTATATGCATACTCTCGCGCACTTTCTCTCGACAGATATTTTAATATCGAGTTAAACATCTTTTTCACTGATAAGCAATTATAAAATAAAAAGTTTTCACGAGCCAGGATGGTTGCTCGTTGGACTGCAAGCGGTCTTAAAAAAGAAAAAACAATTCAAATTTTAAAAGATATTTAATATTACAGACATCGAAATTAATCGATTAAATAAATAAATAAATATAAAAAGAAAGACATATCTGCATTCAAGAGAAAGTGCGCGACGCCTAAAACATCCTGTATGTATATATATATACACACTTTTTTTAAGCTATACGAGAGGTAAGTGGCCGTAGAGACGACAAGCGCGATTTCGTAAAGAAATTAAAAGAAAAAAAATAAAGAAAAAAAGGGAGCAAGATGTAAAGGGAACCCAAGATAAAAAGATGCGACATCGGTAATAGCGATAACACACATACACAAGGAGGTTCCTCCTTGTACTGCGTTACTGATCGAGGCGAGAATTGTCTCGCGGCTGGTCGTTTATCGATTTTACGATATGTAAGACTCGTTGTATTGCGACGATTTATACAAAGACGGAATGCGGGGTAGAAAGCGGAAGATAACGCGCGCGGTGACGAGGAGGGACGGAAATAGATCGCGCGTATCCTGCAGCGCGGCACGGCGAAACGCGGGGAGCACGTGCGTCGCGTGCGTGTGCGTGTGCGTGTGCGTGTGTGAGTGTGTATGTGTGTGTCGCGCGTGGAGTCAATACGCGCGCGCACGCACGTGCTCGGTGCTCGCCTCGCACTCGATCCCGCGTAGCGGTATTCCGTATTGTGAATCTGTTCATATCTCTTAGCTGTACCTTCTTGCACTTGCCGTCTTAAAAAACGGACGCGTGTATTAAAAAGCGATAGCAAGGTGTAGGAACTGCAACTAAAGTAATAAACAGAATCAACGGTACTCGTTTTTAATTATTCAAAAAACACGAAATAATCAGTTTTTTTTAAATAATATGTGTCTTATTTTCTGATTGTATAGATATAGAGTGTCCCTGAAAGACCACCGCACGTTCAGGGATGCGATATTAATTGGCGAGCTTTACATTAAAATTCTGTTGAAAGTTTAATTTAATTGAAAAATATTCTGTTATTTATTTTTCCTCTGAAGCTTCGCCGAAAACAGCCCTAATTTTTAATTACCCAACTGCATAATATTTTCAAGTAAAAATTAACTTGAAATTGTTGAAAGAATTTGAGGTATTTGTTTATGAATAGGACGCCTGATTCTCGGGGCATCTTAATTATTCAGAATCATATATCGTCTCGTTACCACGAGCGATACGTGCTGTTGATTTAAGATGTGCGGTACGGAATTCCTCTACTTGACGGGCTGTAACAATAATCGATCTGATTGCCGCCAAATAAAAACGTGAATGCCCGAAAGTGTGTCTAATCTAGCGCCGTAGAATAATGAGATCGCGAAGGGAAGGCGGTGGAAGCCTAAACTCGCAGGATTGTAACTGTGGATACACAGGTTGTAATGATAAACCATTTGTATGTATGACACTATTGACTTAAATATATAGTTTATAAGCTACGTTCGATTTACAAGACGTCTAATTTTACAAGCTGTTTGTTTGTTTGTTTTTTTCTACGCGCGAGAGGCGCGATGAATCGTGCAGTCGCGGTAATTGTGGGGTAAGCGTTTCGAATGATTGTTATACGAAGTGACGATCGATTCGTAAGTTGATTTGACTAGCCCGATTTTGCCTTATTGAGAAGTTAAGTTGAACAACATTTTTTTTTAGCGTTAGATCGAAACAAAGCGACAATTGCTTTAGCATTAGACGGAAACGAAGTTCTGTTCAAGCAAAATTCATGTGTAATTTGTAAAAGATTAAGGATTTTGATCGTTTGAACATTTATTCATAAATATAATACGATAAATTCTTGATTCTAAGATGATTACTAATGCTCCGTTATTTTTGTCTGAACCTATTTTAATTTAACTAAACACTGTTACATTATTATTCACCACATAAATATGTATACGTTATGTACCAAGCGTGTTTTTTAGTGAATCACCATGTATAGAGATAATTTACCTTTTATCGACTATTAAGAAATTCTATTCAGCTTCGTTTCAACTAAAACTATATGTTTGTTTGTAGATAATTCAAAGGGATTTAGATATATCTGTATATCCACTGTAAGAATATCTCCAACCAACTATAGTTTATTCTGTGGTTCGTATCATATTTAGTGAATCATCTTGTGATGTAAGGATACTCTTTTTCTTTAAGAGTAGATAAGGAAAATCGTTTTTCCTTATCTGCTCTTAAGAAATTCGATCCGCTTTTATTTCAACTCAGCTTGGTTTTCATATAGATAATTCAGAGACAAAAGCACTTATATTATCAAGTCTTGCATAAAGCCAACAGAATTTATAGACAGTACAATTTCAGTTTAATTATATACTTAGAATAGTTTTCCCATTATTTTTCAAATCATATTATACACGTGTAGTCATGTCAAAATTCTGCTTACCGTGATTGTCGACGTCAAGTAAATATTAATAATTCATCAATAAATCCTAAAGTTACTCTAACACTGAAACGAATCACAGAATTCGAATTAGCTTTTAACTGAACTTTAACGGGTTTAATAATATAAACGTGGTATATAAGGCATATACGGAACGCTAAACACGGTAACTCAGAAAAATCATTTTAAGGAAGGATCATTAACGTTAGTTTCAATTATTCTACAAAACTCATTTAAAATAATTTTTCTGAGTTACCATGTTTAGCGTTCCGAAACTTAAATTCACAATTTTTATCATTTTGAAAGTAATGTCTCCGAATTTTTTTTCCCAGAAAATGTTACTTTTGAAATATATAGTTTTTACATGAAGTAATCAATCTTTATTGCGCACACTGTTATTTTTCTACGCACTTTTGCCATCTGTGACTCAAATGCTGCACACCAGTGCGGCAAAGGTACTTGCTTTGATTCTTGAAGGCTTGACCAACAGTTTTCTTCATCGTTATCTGGAAAATGCCCACGAACTGTTTTGTATCTTTCAATGGGCCGAAGAGGTAATTAGAGATGAAGGAAAGAAAGAAGAAAAAATGTTGATCAAGAGTTGAGCCCTCACGAGTTATAAAGCACTGGTGTGCAGCATCTGACTCACAGATGGCAAAAGCGCATTATAGAAAAAGATGGACATTATTTGGAAAAATAACAGCGCGCACGATAAAGATTGAACATTACTTCACGTAAAAATCCATATAGTTTTAGAAATAAAATTTTCTGAGAAAAAAAATTAAAAGGGTCATTTACTTTCCGTATCGACCCTCGTATCTAAAAATCTATTACTCTTATTCTGAACTGCATTTTATTTCTTTCAGAACGTGCGACATCCGCGATTATTCGTTAAAGAATGAACTTAATGCTATACTTTATATTGATAAAAGTTTAATTATCGCGCTTCGACTCACGATAAAATACGTCTAGTACAAAAACGTGCTCTTCGGGGATTCCAGCCGACGATATTTTCGTCCCCGAATGCCGAGTCCTTGGTTCGCGTTGTTTATACCGCCGGTATTATTCACAGTTCGATTTTACATTCAAAATTATCGTCAAGTCTGCTTATCGACGATTTTGAAATTCCATCCGGCCGATGAAGTGCGATTTTAAATATAAGATCAGATGATAATGTGCAAAATACACCAACCCTCTTATTAGATATCGGCTTTCGAAATTCGAAGATCACGAATCCCCCGCCGCGCTTCCGTGCGGGGCGTGGGGCGGGAGGGGGCCGTGGAGGGAGCCGCGCGCGTGGGAAATGTGGGAATCGGACGTGATTGATTGGTCGCGACGCGGCTCGACAAAGGAGGGGGGCCGTCATCTCCACGGCCGGTCGTGGTTGGTCGGTGCGGTGGCCTCGGGGTGCATTTGGAGGTTATAGCGAGGATCGGGTTTCGGGTTTCTGTTCGTGGCTCGTGGGTTACCGCGCGGGCGGCATAGATCGGCGACGGCAGACGCGTTTCGTCGTTGCGGGCGGAAGGACGCGCGAAGATCAAAGGCTTCGAGCTCGAGCACGGGTGGCGGCGCATCTAACCGCAGCCATCGTATACGTGAATGCACGTGAACTCGGGGGACCGCTCACTGCACGTTTTTTACGTACGGCACAAAGTGGACTCAATGTCGATAATATGTCGGCTACGAGCAACGTTAGGACGACGCGGATGCACAGGATGGCCCGTCGGGCCGTTTGACGATTATTTATGAATCCACGGGAAGATCTGAGGAGAGGGTGTCCACGGTGCAACAACAACAACAACATGGTGAAGGAAAAGGCGAATTCGATCCGCATCTACGACTCTGAGGGCTACCGACGCAGGGCCGCCTGTATCTGCGTCAAGAGCGATCTCGAGGACGAGGTAAGCCCAGCTGGCAGATGGCAGCCACCTGTATATATATCTTTGCCGGCACGCGCGGCGCGATTCCTCGCTCGAGAGCCGGCTTAAGTTTCTCTCGTCTCTCTGAGAATCTCTGGACTCTCCGTCTCGGTTGAGGTCGATGAGTAAAATTTCGACGAGTAAGGTCTCACGTGCGTCGTGAATTTTTGCAGGTACTACTAGTTACATCCAGTCGAAGACCCGACAGTTGGATAGTACCAGGTGGCGGCGTCGAACCCGAGGAAGAACCAGCGGTCACGGCTCTTCGCGAGGTCCGGGAGGAGGCTGGCGTTCTAGGACAGTTAGGCCGTTGCCTCGGCACATTTGAGGTTATAACTCGTGATGTATGCTACACAGATATTATGTTATGCCCCTTCAATGTCGTGCTGTTATTTTTTTCTGTTTTTTTTTTTTTTTTTTATTATTATTAATGTTCTACTGCGTTTCGCATATAACTGGGTCTGTTTTGTATTGCCGAACTGGCTGCACTAGTTCAAGAGTTTATCTTGGGCCAGTGGCGATTGTTGCGCAGAGAGATGTACGCTGAACCAAAAATTGTCGGCTTTTATTCAATTGCCACCTCTTGGAAGTCGAGATGGCAATCCACGGAGAGTATTTTGCCTAGCTCTCTATATTTAGAAAGAAAACCGATCCTCCAAGTTGGGGATTAGGAAGCAATTTGTAAAATTTAATAGTTCTATAAAACTGTCAAGAAATTTGCATTGTATCAAAAATATCCATATAAGAGTTCTCAATTCCATTTAATTTATTGATATTTCCCGAATTATTTAATGTTATTACATACGATGAGTTTGATTTTTGAATATCAGATGTTTTATCTGATGTCACCGTGATATCTAGTAGTGTAGAATTTTCTTGTTTGTATCACTGAATGTTGTATTTACATATGTAAAGTTTAGTTTTGTATCAATAATTCTCCAACGTGAAAAGTAAAAGAGGAAAGATAAACCGTGCAAAAAAGTTCGGCTAAAAAGAACAGGCCTAAAGATAAACTCTGAACTAGTGCAGCCGGTAGATATAGAAATAGAAAACAGATCCTGCGTATCGTAGTCTCAAATCGCGTTTGATTTGTTCATTCGAGACGCGTCGATTACAAGCAAAAACAACGATTCTGATAAAGCCGATTCTCCCTTTAAATGGCAATCTCCCTTTGCAGAACACGGAGCACAAACACCGAACGGAAGTGTGGGTTATGCGAGTGACCGAGGAGCTGCCGGAATGGGAGGACTCGCGCGCTATCGGCCGGAAGCGAAAGTGGTTCACCATACCGGAGGCCCTGCTGCAGCTTGGTCAACACAAGCCCGTCCAGCGCTCTTACCTGCATAGTCTCCACAATACCAATCCACGACATAATCCCACTTCTCAGCTGTCCAATCATTCGCACTCCACGATGGCGTCTATCGAACTAATGAATAACTCTAGCAACAATACCCACTTGAGCGAACACAGCTAATATCATCGCGGATCAAGCTCGGTATTTTTTTTTCTTTAATCCAAAATTCGACCGCCATGGGTTCCCTCCGAGCAAAACTCGCTGTTACTTCTCCTTTCTTCTCCTTAAGGAACTCCACTATACAACTACTGTTGTGTTTTATATATATAAATTGATATCTATGTGCTTATCTTTATTATTATATCCTTAGGTTAATTGCTACGATTATTATTACGTTTAGTCTTAGATTGTTGATAAATCGGTTCGTGAAGGAGCACTTATATATATTTTTTTTTTCTGTAACCAAATTCTTATTTCTAATGTGACTTTTTATCGAACGCGCGAGAAGAGTGATTAAGTCAATTATTTTACTGTCATTATTATTTTAGTGTTTGTGCCTAATATACGTAGAATGCCATACACGTGATCCTGTTTCCACGTATCGCATATCCTGACTATATAGCTGCGCGAACTTTTTCTACATTTTTGTCGGGGTGAAGGAAAAGTTGCGTTGTACTTGTTAATATACGGACGATAAAATTATGTACTTTGTATATTAACTTCTTGAATAAATTTTGTAATGATTTCTGCGAATTATATACGTGAAGATACGCGCGGAGCTGCCGCCTTGTACCCTCCGCCTGTGGTAAAAAGAAAGAATTTTCCTGCAAACAACGTGACGTAGGTTCATCAATACTTCATTGTTACAGCATAAAGTTTATCGTACGGCTTTAGGTGTCTCTGATTTTCTGTATTATTTATTTTCTCGCGATACTTTGTGATATGACAAATAGTTTGTATGGCTTTGGTTCTCGATATTTCTGTGGATGGAAAGGATTTAAGGAGAAAGCGAACAACAACCAACTTTTGTAGCAGACTAATATGAGATATTAAATTTTTACTATTTAAAGATAATTATATATATTTATTTAACTCTCTCTATCCTGACGTGTTGTTAGATTTTACTTTTCTTTTTATCTTGTTTCTATATTCTTCCTTTTAAAATTCGAATATACATGTATTTTATTTCCAATGCAATTAGAACAAACTTTAGTTTTCTTCTTTTTTAACTAATTTTTCCTTTTTTATTTTATTTTATTTTATTTTTTCAAAGTGAACAAATCAAGTGCAAATTAAAAATAGCATACGCCAGAGAGAAACCTGAGAGCGGCCATCCCGCTTTGGGGGACGCCTAGAGGGACTCTGGTACAGAGTACAGAGTATAGATATCCAGATGGAGAATAACCGACGACAAAAGGGTCGACAGGAGTCACGGCCGAACTCAGGTGCACTTTATGCACTAAGTGCACTTTAAACTGCACTTTAACTCCGTATTTTATTTATTATAAATTTTTAAGAGCCAAAATGGAAAATCCGGCTCTGTACCGGGTTGCAGCTGATCTTACTGATTAAAACGAGCATAAGTTTAATGAGATTCGTTAATTAATTTGCCTAAAATTTAAGAAAAACCATTTGTAGTTTACAGCTTAGCCAAATTAATTAACGAATTTTATTAAACTTAAGCCCGGTGTCCACGATGCAAGAACTGTGTCCAAGTTTTGGTTTAAGCCAATAAAACTGCTACTTTTCTGTAAGAGCTGCAAGTTGATTGGCTTAAACCGAAACTTGGACACAGTTTTTGCATCGTGGACACCGGGCTTTATGCTCGTTTTAATCAGTAAGATCAGCCGCAACCCGGTACAGGGTCGGCTTTTCCATTTCGGCTCTTAAAAATTTATAATAAATAAAATACGGACTCGCAGCGAGTCGCAGCTAACCCAACCCGACAGAGGTCTCCACTCTTAGCTGCGTTCCCACTATACGCGTCGCGCACCTAAACAAATTTAGCCCCCCCAAGTGGATTATTGATATATTTTTTTTT